AAATTTGGTTTTCTGCTTAAGGCAAAGGCCCAGGAATCATTTCATCTTTTATTTTTAATTTTTAGTTTATGAGTGTCATTCAATTTTTTTCTGTCTACAAATAGCAATATATTCTCATTGTAGAAGTATGAAAATATAGAAAGGATAAGGCAGAAATAGAAATCACTTAAGGTGTCTGGGTGGCTCAGTCAGTCAGGTCATAATCCCAGGGTCTTGAGATTGATCCCTGTGTCAGGATCCCTGCACAGAGGAAGTCTGCTTCTCCCTCTCCCTCTGTAGTTCCCCCTGTTTGTGCTGTCAAATAAATAAATAAAATCTTTAAAAAAAAACACTCATAATTCTATCACCCAGGGAAAATTTGTTATTTTTCTGTTTTCTTCCAGTTCTCTCTCCCCACATATATACGCATATATAGTTGATTTTCCTTATTTGCAGTAGTTAAGTGGCCATGAACACTGCACTAGTGAACACCGAACTATTGCTTCTGATCACATTTTTGTCACCCAATCAATAAATAATCTTGTTTTATGTATGTTTGCGTAAAGACATCTATGTAGTATTGAATCATTAATATCTCATGGCCAACAGCAGTATAATTCAGGAGTGAGCAAAGCTTATCTAACATGTGTATTTTCTGCATGAAGTACATCACAGCCTTCTTCTGTGGAGGAACACCAGGTAGAAGTTTAGCACTATGCTTGGAGCCATTTTAAGCAGTAAAATCACCAACAAAAAGCAAAAAAATATGAAAACTGTAGCACTAAATAGATCATGGAAAGAAAAAACAAGAAGCAGAATATCACCTTTTTGAAAAGTCTCAGTTGGGAATGTGCTGGTAGGGGACTGAAATTTTTTGCCACTCTACATATGTGTGTAAATGACTACCAAAGCACCAGTGGTACAATTTTGGAGTTAGAAATATTTTTAGGGGCACCTGAGTGGCTCAGTCAGTTGAGCATCAGACTCATGATTTCGGCTCAGGTCATGATCTCATTGGTTGTGAGATCGAGTCCCATGACAGGCATTGTGCTCAGCAAAGAATCAGCCTGAGGTTCTCTCTCTCTGTCCCTCCCCATACTGGTGCTCTCTCCCCGTAAAATAAATAAAATCTTTAAAAATATATTTTTTATGAAGCAGTCAAGTTTGCAAAGATGTAATTCATGAATAACAAGGACTGACTTGGCAAGGGTTTCTGAGGATGTGCAGACAGTCCATGGGAGGGAGGAGTGCGGCCAGGCAGAGAGGGAAGAGGAGTGGACCCCCAGGTATGGGGGACCCATAGAGCAGAGACAAATCCCCAGAACATTTAGCTTTGAAAATCAGAGGGGCCTAACTTTGCCAGGTCTTAAAATCAATGGGCTTAACACCTGTGACTTTAAAAATCAGTGGGGGAGAGAGGAAATTGAGTCCCTGCCCTTAAAGAAACAGAACAAAAAATAGCCTATGGAGATAATTGCACAGAAGCGGTTTGAAGAACAGTTGAAGCATATGGGAGAGAGATTTGTTTACTAATCACAGAGCCTCTCCTGGAGGTCCTGGGAGACCCCTCCAGGAACAAAGGAGCTGGCACCATCTCCCTTCCATGAGTCTGCAGACAACCATGGGAACCAGCACGGCTTCATCACTCACCACCTAGGATGCATAAGTGCACCCTGCTCCTATACTCATCTTCACATATACATCCCCTCCAGCCAGTCCTCCACTGCAGCCCCCACCTGACCCCGACAGCAGACCCTGCAGACATTGCTAACACTGCGCACCCCACACCCTGGCTCTTCTGCAGATCTGCAGCTCCAACATGCCCTTGGCAAGGGTCCATCCAAAGCTGTGCCACCACCCTGGCAGTGTGAGAATAGCTGGGATAGGGGCCAGCCCCACTCCAAAGTGAGTCCCGCCCCAGGGAGAGGGGAAGATGACCACACGCCAGTCTGACTGTGGCCCTAGCAGTGGGCTGGGGGCAGGCAGCTTCAAAACACTGATTCTAGTTCCTTCGTGTGTATGTGTGTGTGTGTGTGTGTGTGTATGTATATGTGTGTGTATATGTATACATATGTGTATATATGTACATACATACATGTGTATATATACATATGTATATGTGTATATACATGCATACACACACACATATATCAGAGTGGGACTGCTGAGTCATGTGGTAGTTCAATTTTTAATTTCTGAGAAATTCCATACAGTTTTCCATAATGATTGAATCATTTTAGGGGCACCTGGGTGCCTCAGTTACTTAAGCATCTGACTCTTGGTTTCAGCTCAGGTCATGATCTCAACGTCAGGAGATGAAGCCCCATGTCAGGCTCCACAATCAACATGAACTTTGCTTGAGATTCTTTCCCTCTCCCTCTCTACCCCTCTCCCCACTCATGCAGGCATGCTTGCTCTCTCTCTAAAATAAAATAAATGACTGAACCATTTTAAATTCCCACCAACAATGTATAAGGGTTTCCCTTTTCCACATTCTCATCAATATTTGTCATCACCTATCTTTTTGATGATGACCATCCTAACAGATAGAGGGTGCTATCTCCTTGTGGTTTGGTTTGCATTTCCCTGGTAACTAGTGATGTGGAGCACCTTTTCATGTACCTGTTGGCAATTTGTATATCTCCTTAGGAAAATGGCTCTTCAGGCCCTTTTGGCCATTTTTTTAAATTGGAGTTTGTTTTTTTTTTTTTTTTTTTTTTTTTTTTTTTGCTATTGAGTTTGGATGAGTGCTTTGTATATTTTGGATTTAACCCCTTGTCAAATATATGGCTTGTGAATATTTTCTCTGATTCTATAAGTTGCTTTTCCAATTTATTGATTGTTTCCTTTGCTGTGCAGAAGGAGTATAGTCCCCCTTGCTTATTTTAGCTTTTGTTTCCTGTGCTCTGGTGTCTTATCCAATAAATCATTGACAAGACCAATGTCAAGGATCTTTTTCCATATATTTTCTTCTATAAGTTTTATGGTTTCAGATTTCATATTTAAGTGTTTGATCCATTTCTACTTTTTGAATGGTGTAAGATAGGGATCTTATGTCCTTGTTTTGCATGTGGATAACCAGTTTTCTCAGCTTCATTTGTTGAAGAGACTGTTCTTACCCCAGTTTGTGTTCTTTGCACCCTTGTCAAAAATTAGTTGACCATATATCACTGAATTTGTCTGGGCTCTCTATTCTGTTCTGATCTATGTGCCTATTTTTATGCCAGTACCATGCTGTTTTTAGCACTACCACTTTGTAATAGAACTCAAAATCAAGAAGTGTGATGCCTGCAGCTTGGGTCTTCTTTTTTAGAAGTGCTTTGGATATGTAGTGTGTTTTGTAGTTCCATACAAATTTTAGGAAACTTTGAGAAAAATGCCATGGGAATTTTGATCAGGATTGTATTGAATCTGTAGACACTTGGGATAGATAGACATGTTCACAATATTCTTCCAATCCTAGAAGACAAGAAATATTTCCGTTTGTGACTTTCTCAACGTCTTTCATCAATTTTGTACAGTTTTTTAATATATAGATCTTTTACCTCCTTGTTTAAATTTAGCCCTAAGTATTTTGTTATTTTTGATGCTATTATAGATAGGATTGCTTTCTTAATTTCTCTTTCAGATGGTTTGTTGTTAATATGTGGAAATGTAATTAATTTCTCTATGTTGATTTTATATCCTGCAACTTTACTGATTTCGTTTATTCTAACAGTTTTTGGGGGGTCTTTAGGGTTTTCTATATCTAAGATGATGTCATCTGTAGAGACCATTTTACTTCTTCCTTCCGAATTTGTATGCTTTTTGTTTCTTTTTCTTGCCCAATTGCTATGGCTAGGACTTTCTATACTACGTTGAATAGAAATGGTGAGAGTGGGCTTCTTGTCTTGTTCTTGATCCTAGAGGAAAGGCTTTTAACCTTTGACCATTCAGTATGATGCTAGCTATGGCCTTGTCATCTGTAGCCTTTATTATGCTGAGGAACATTCCTTCTATGCCTAATTTGAGGAGCCGATGCTCCACCACTGAGCAGATGCTCAACCACTGAGCCACCCAGACGCCCCTCCTTCATTCTGTTTATGTGGTGTGTCACATTTATTGATTCCCATATGTCGAGCCATCCTTGCATCCTGGGGTGAATCCCAGTTGATCAGGGTTTATGATCCTTCTAATGTGTTCCTGAATTCAGTTTGCTAGTATTTTGTTCAGAATAAAACAAGTAGGATTGAGTGTTGGATGGTTGTGTATTTAGGATAGAAGGGCATGTTAATAAACAGGGTGAAGAATGGAAAGCGGAAGCTACTGAAGAGAGGCAAACTCCAGAAAGGCTTTGCAGAGCATGGCAGGTCTGCTTGACTCAGAACTAGAAGGACAGATGATTCAACAGTAGGCAGTAGATGGGTTTGTCGGATTTGGTATAGGGGAAGGCTGGGGAGTTGAAATTGCTAACATTTAACTGCTTGTGAAGTTAAGCTGCCCAGAGAAGGGGAAAGGAGCAGACCAAAGGACTTGAGGAGAGTGATAAAAAGCCTTCAGCCAGGTTGGAAATGTCAGGTGTTTTGTCCAAAACACAGTTAAGATAATGCTTCTTTTCCTGGGTATTAGTTTTTTTTTTATATTTATTTATTTATTTATTTATTTATTTATTTATTTATTTATTTATTTATTTATTTATTTATTTATTTATTTATGATAGACATAGAGAGAGAGAGAGGCAGAGACACAGGAGGAGGGAGAAGCAGGCTCCATGCCAGGAGCCCGACGCAGGACTCAATCCCAGGACTCCAGGATCGCGCCCTGGGCCAAAGGCAGGCGCCAAACCACTGAGCCACCCAGGGATCCCCTGGGTATTAGTTTTCATATTTCTCATGTGCTCTCAGCTAGAAAATGGCATCCTTCTGCCAAGTTATTTTTCCTTGGAAATTGAGTACAAGTTCACAGATATGCTCCCAATGACCCCCAAAATAAATTTTAATGACAACAAAAAATATGATGTACCTATCTCTAAATCCCAACAGAAACATGCCTACAAGTCCTGTAAGTCCCTGAGTTCCTGGGTTAATGATCTCATCCAACGACTGAATTTCTTCAATACTTGGGCCAAAATGGCTTATACTGCAATACATCATCGGTATGGATGAAAGCCGCTTTATATCTCTTACTGTGGCTTAGAGCTTGGCCTTTGGGGTTCTCAGAGCAACATGTGAATTAAGCAAGGGGGAAGAAGTGTTATTTTCAGTTTAGGATGAAGCCCTGGAGACATGGGATGCTGAGAGTCCTGTCCGTGGCCTGTCCACTTGAAGGACTCCGTGGCCTGCACCTCGTGCATGTGTCCTTCTGTGATTCTGCACTGTGTCCCAGGAAACCAGCAGGGAGAAATGTGAAAGGAAATGAGAATTAGTTTTTTTAAATGTGTTTAACACACAAATTGAAATAACCTGAACAGCATGAGAGCAGCCAATACTCAAGGAGTCATGTCACTGTCACAGTAGCCCTGTGACACACAGGGGGTACCATCCTTCATCATCACCCTCATTGTAGAGATGAGCACACAGAGCCACAAAGACTTGAAGTAGCTTGCCAAGTGCTTTGCAACCAGACAGTGGAAGTATTAAGATTTGAACCCAGAAAATCCAGTTCCAAAGTTTGTACCAAACTGTGTTTTGTGCCATTTAACTCTAAGTGAGTGCTGGGGCATCTCCTCTTATAGAAACCAGCAACTCTGGAATAGATGCCTTAGGGCACAGCCAGGACCTCCAGCATGGAGCAGCACCCCTTATCACCCAAATCCATGGCCTTCCCGCATGTGTGAATCATAGTTGGTCTCCACTAAAGTATGAGATTGGGTCCTGAGTGGGAGAGCTTGAGATGGAAAGGAAGGACCTCAGAGGGATGGTGGTGGGAAAGCGTGCAATGGTGGTGCCCTGACCTCTCTGCCCATGCTCTGCCTCCAACAGGTATATGAGATTTATCACAGTCTCGAATCTTTCTATTCCATCACCTGCCCAAAGCCCCAAATATCCCAATGATAAGAACAGTGATTTCTTTGAAGGATTTCCTGCAAGATACTGGCTCCCAGCTTTCTTCTTTCCACAAGGTGAGTGCACCCTGCAGGTACCCGCACCTGGGCGGTCTCTTCTCCCTCCCACTCTCTTCCTTTCCTCACTCCTACTTCCCTCCATGCTAAACTAGACCATCCTCCTCAGAGCACACCTACACCTGGCCGGCCGTGTCATGTCATCTATAGGAGGCTGATTCTGGGATGTCAGAGGCTGACCCCACACCCCTCTCAGGGGCCACTGCACTTCACTGGGACTGCTGCAGATGGGTACTCCCCAAGGGAGTGCATGTGTGCTTTGGCCATTTCACTCCTTTATGAATGAATGGCGCTGGGTCTTGGGCACCATGCTCAGCATAGACATCCAGCAGGAAGGAAAGGCGTCCCAGCAGAACATGTCACCACAGCATGTGTTTGGGGGTTATGGGAGTGGTAGACGGGCATGGCTAGGTCCTAAGCACCATGAGGGCAGACCCAGGTGTGTCCTAATGCCCTGCCATACCCCTCACATCTACTAGCCCCCAGCACCTAAAAAAATCTCTTGGGAAATATTTGAAGAATGATTAAGTGACTTTCTGAGCGGATAACATATGCATAAATAAACAAAGGAACGGCTTTGGAACAGAGCACAGGGCCCCGAGCTGAAGTCAGGGAGGCTCCTCAGGAAAGACCTGGCTGCCCGTAAGGTAGTGTGCAGTGCAACAGGCAGGAGGATGGAGATCCCACCCTGATACGGCCCTGATGGGGAGCCACGGGCTGCTCTGAGGACTTGGTAGACACTTGCTCATTCAGCGCTCCTGACCATCTTACAGGGTCCTGAATATTGTCACTCCTGTTCTCAGAGAGGAGAACCATGGCAGAGAAGTTACAGAGTTTCCCCATACTCCCAGGACCAGACACACCTGAGCCAAGATAAGACCTTGGCTTGTGTGACTTGGAAATCCCTGTGTGTGACCGTGGCACAAACTGGGAGTCCCCCAGTGTGGGAAGGGTGACTGGGCAGGGTGCAGTGGGGACGCTGGGCAGGCTGGGGACACACCAGGGAGTCTGTCCCCTGCAGCCAAGGGGCCACAACCATGGTCAGGCCGGGGAGGAGCCAGGGTGGGTCTGCTTGGTCTCCAGGCAGGAGCTGGGGGGGCCCGGGGGGGGGGACCCTGAGGGATAGAGTGTGTACGCTGGCCCCTGGCTCTCTGGCTCCCACAGCTGGTGGAGGCTGACACCCTTTACTGACATAGAGACCCAGGGTGGAGCCACGTGATGGGCAGCAAGGGGATAGCCACTAGCCACCTGTCATGTCTAAGACAATCGGGGAAGACAATGCAGTGGCCGGTGCGCAGTTGTGCAGGGCTGGATTGCAGGAGAGATGGAGGCTCCACACACCACGGGGCAGCACCGCCCAGCACTGCAGACCCCGTGTGGCACCTGCCACCAGAGAGGCCTAACGGCATCCACAGCGCATCCACATGCGCCTCAGCGCAGAGCCCTGAGGCGCATGGAGGAGGGCGAGGGCCCCTCTGACCTGCCGGCACTGACGGCTTCTGGGGTCTCAGACAGTTATAGGCAAAGGATGAGAATGGCCATCCAGGCAGGAGGCAGGCTCAAGGACACATAGGAGGTGCCCTGTCTCAGCGGGTCATTCCCGCAGCCACGAGCAGAGGACATGGACCAGCGTGATGGGGGCTCGGTGGCCCAGTGAAGGCCCTAGAATTCACTCTGTGAAGACTGCCAGGACAGGTTCTGGGCAGGGCTGTGACAGGATTCAGAAGTAGGATGAGGGTCCAGGCAAAATGCAGGGTGGATTAGACAAGAACAGTAGCTGCAAGAACTGTTAGGATCCACGTTAAGAGTGTTGGTAATCAGACACAGTGTGATCCAGACTTGCTTGAGCAAAACAGAGTAAATATAGGCTCATATGAGTAAAGAGGAAGCCAAGGCTGTTGGCTTCAGGAATGGATGGTTCCAGGTGACTGTCCTCTGTGCTACTCTCAGCCTCCTCCTCATCTCTTAGCTCTGTTTGCACTGCCTTGGTCTCCTTTTTCTCAGCTGTACACAGCACTTTTCATGCAACCAAAGGTAGAAACAGCCCCCCCACCGCTTAGCAACTCCAGGGCAGATGTGCTTCCCTCTCCCCATGTCTGAACGCCACTTCCTGAGAAAGACTCTGACATGCTCCGGTCTTCTACTGTCTCTGGGACCCAGCTCTGTTGCCAGGAGGATGGAGTCCATCAACACTGCTCTCTCAGACCCCAGGGAACCCCTAGGGCATACTCAGCCCCTGACTCCCCCGACTCACTGGGAACTGCTTGGGTGTTTTTCTCCAAAGCCTTTCTTACTGCTGTGCTTCAAGACTATGGAAAGTCCCAGGGAATCTCTATAGACGCCCTCACTTTTACCCACCATGTGACCTCGGACACCACTGACATCAAAGATGAGGAGTTCTCCATAATCATCCAGAAGAAACTCAACATCGTCAGGAGAGCCTTTAAGGTACTACCCCGGGCAGCCCGGGTGGCTCAGCGGTTTAGTGCCACCTTCAGCCCGGGGCGGGATCCTGGAAACCCAGGATCGAGTGCCACGTCGGGCTCCCTGCATGGGGCCTGCTTCTCCCTCTGCCTGTGTCTCTGCCTCTCTCCCTCTCTGTGTCTCTCCTGAATGAATAAATAACATCTTAAAAAAAAAAAGGTACTAGCCTGCTTAAAACATTGGAGTACATGTCCGTATGTCCAGTCACTTCCTCACCAGCCTCACTCCTGCCTTCCCCTGAGCCGGGTGCTGCATGAGCAGTTTGTGCAGATCCTTCTTTGTACTTTTTTTTCTTTAAGAGAATTATTACTTTTTCCCACTTCTTATTGTGGCAAAATATACATAATGTAAAACCGTCATTTTAACTATTTCTAAGTGTACAGTTCTGTGACATTGTGCACATTCACTGTCTGTCTCCAGAACTTTCCTTAGTGTAGATCAGTGGAGAAAGTGAGTGAGCTCTCTGGTCTCTTCTCAAGGAGGACGCTAATCCTGGTGGATCAGGCCCCGACCCATGTGACTTCACTTGACCTTAATTAATTGCTCCCCGAGAGGCCTCATCTCTTAAGTACAGCCACGTTGGGTGAAGGGCTTTGCACAGGGGTTTGAGGGCACTGCACCACGCTGCCACCTGCCAGTGTCACCAGGATTGCTCCCTCCTTCTACCATAAACACTGCTTCCTTGAACGTGGGTGCACAAGGATTTGAGCTTTTGATTAATTTGGGTATATGTATAGGATTGGGATTGTTAGATTATTTGGCAATTCTGTTCAACTTTCTGGGGAGCCTCCATACTGTTCCCAAGTGGTGGCACCAGTCTGCATTCCCACCAACAGGGCACTAGGGGTTCCCTTCCCTATATCCTTGCCAATACCTGTCATTTTCTAGGTTTTGATAGTAGCCATCCCAGTGGCTGTGAGGTGGTATCTCACTGAGGTTTGCATCTGCATTTCCCTAGTGATTCAGGATGCTGAGCAACTTGAGGTGTGCTCATTGGCCCTCTGTGTGTCCTCTTTGGCGAAAGTCTGTTCAAGCTCTTTGGCCATTTTTTTTTCACCAGGATTTTTTGTTGTTAAGTTGTAGGAGTTCCTTAGGTATGCTGGATATTAATCTCTTACAGTATGCATGAGTATTTTTCTTTGTCCTGTGGGTTACCTCTCCATTCTGGGACAGCATCCTTTGATGCACAAAAATTGTTAATTGTGATGTAGCACAGTGTATGTACTATTTCTTCTGTTGTGCTTCTGCTGTCACAACCAAGAAACTACCAAAAAGCCCCATATCACGAAGCTTTTCTGCTCTGTTTTCCTCTGAGAGTTTCATGTGTTAGCTCTTAAGTTTCAGTCTTTGATCCATTTTGAATTAATGTTTAGACATAAGGTCATGCTCTATGGGGTGGGTGATGTCTAATTTTCCCAGTACCACTTACTGAAGAGACTTGTTCTTTCCACATTGAATATCATAGCACCTTTATTGCAGATCATTTGAACACATATGTCAATGTTTATTTCTGGGTTCTCTATTCCATCCCATTGCTCTATATGTTCATTTTTTTTTTTAACGATAGCACACTGTTTTGATCACCATCACTTTATCATAAGCTTTGAAATCAAGAAGTGTAAGAGCTCCAGCATTTTTCTTCAGGATTATCTTGTTTACTTGGTTGTCCTTGAAATTCCTTATGAATTTTAGAATAGATTTTGTTATTGGGATTTTGGGATTTTGATGGGGATAGATATAGCACTGACTCTGTAATCGCTTTGGGCAGTATTGACATAAGCGTGTCTTCAAATCCATGAATTCATTGTTTCTTTTGAAAATGACTTGTGCATGCTTTCTCTTCTAGATGAATTTGACAGTAGGCCTTTTATATTTCATTTTTTTTTAATTTTTTTTGTTTTATTTATTTATGATAGGCACACAGTGAGAGAGAGAGAGGCAGAGACATAGGCAGAGGGAGAAGCAGGCTCCATACACCGGGAGCCCGACGTGGGATTCGATCCCGGGTCTCCAGGATCGTGCCCTGGGCCAAAGGCAGGCGCCAAACCGCTGCGCCACCCAGGGATCCCTATATTTCATTTTTTAACTTGGGATTTTGATTAGCTTGCTGGACATTTATGTATAAATTTGGGAGAGAATGGTTATCTCTTTAGTATTGAATCTCTCCATATAGAAACATGGTTTATCTTTCCATTTATTCAGGTTTTTCTTCACATTGATCTTAGAAATTTATGTTTATACTGTTTTCCTGTTTTGTAATTATGCTATTGTGAATAGGGTTTGTAATGCCCTACATCTTCCTCTCTATATTAGCTCTCTACCTGGGCTTAGCCATGCTGGAGATTAAGGACACAGTCCTCCGAGGCTGTTACATCCAAGACTTCTGACACCAGCTGCAAGTTTGGGGTTTCCTAAAACCACCCTCAGGTTTAATAATTTGCTAGGAAGATCGTAGAACTCCAGGAAAACACTATACTTACAGTTTTATTATAGCAAAAGGATACAAATCAGAACTAGCCAAAGGAAGAGACACATGGGGCAGAATCTAGGCCTGGGAGGGTCCCAAACATCAGTCTTCCATGTCCTCAGGCCCTGTTCCCCCTGGTGTCAACATGTAACAACAGGAGAGTGCTGCCCACCCAGGAAGCTCACCCAAGCTTCAGTCTTGAGAGTTTCCACTGGGGTTTCCTAATGTAGCCCTATTGGCTGAATCACTGCCCTCATGGCTTCCCCCAGCCCCGGAGGCTGGTTGATGTCACTGGCTCCATGTCCCCCCACCACCCCAATCTCCTGTTGGCTCCTTCTGAGCCCGCCAGCCCCCATCCTGAGCCATCTCATTAGCACAAGCCCTCTGGGGATTCGGCTGGGGAGGCAAGTCCTTACCCTGAGCCTGCAAGGTGGTCCTGGGAACCAAATCCTTTATTTTTTTTTAAGATTTTATTTATTTGACAGAGAGAGAGAGAAAGAGAGCAAGGGGAGGGGCAGAGGGAGAAGCAGATGCCCTGCTGAGCAGGGAGCCTGACTCCGTGGGGCTCCATCCCAGGACCCCAGGATCGCAACCGGAGCCGAAAACAGACACTTGACCGCCTGAGCCCCAGGGCACCCCCTAATTCGTTATGACACATTCTTCTGCTCATTTCTAATTTTTTTCTAATTTAAACTGGCCAAGTTTGTCTACTTCATTTACCTTCTTCAAATATACCAAATTTGCCTTTATTAACTGTAATGGTGTTTTGTTGGCCTTCAGTTTCTGTTTCCCATTTATTTGCTCTTCACAGGTTTGTGTTTACTCCCCGAGGCACAGTATGAGGAGCGCAGGCATCCTGCTCTCTGCCCTCTGCCTGGCTCGCACCCCCGCCAGGGCACGTCCCTGGGCCACCCCACCCGCGGCCCCGCCTCCGCCCCCACCCCCCCACTTCCGGGGCGGGACCGCGCAGTGGGCCCCCTCCTCAGGTCTGGCTGCTCTTGCTCCCAGTCAGTGTGAGACTCGTCCCTGCAGCATGCATAGGAACGGGTGCTTCTGTTGGTGGCTCTGGAGTGTCCTGTTGTGCTAATCACGTACCACAGGTTCTCCCCCGCGATGGGCTGAGGGTTGACGTCTGTGGAGGACTGTTGCGATCTGCTGACTCTGTCTTTGGATGGACACGGATACTCATTTTCCTTGGATGCATACCTGGGAATTAAACCGAGGGCCAAAAATAAATAAACAAACAAACAAACAGAGGGGCATTGGTGGCCGTGCACTGCACCTGATGTAGATGCTTCTGGTGTTGGGTGGTTGTGCTGACATGCAGAAGCCCTGGGACCATGTCAGAGTCACAAGAGTCACGGCCCCCAGGGACCAGGAAGGACGACCGTACCCCTGGGAGGACGGGAACCTGGGAGGACCAGCAGGGCCGGGCTGGGAGGGACCCCCCACCCGAGAGATCTTCTGTTCAAGGAAGCATCGCGCCGGGGAGCCACTGACACCACTTCTCCTACGGCAGGGCACGGACCGCACACACGTGGGAGTTCACATTTTTGGCTTATTCATCGAGGGAGCCAGGTGGAATCATGAACAAAATGCACTAGAAGACTCGCTGCCTCGTGAGCTATGCTGCGATTTTCCTGAAATCTATTTCTTGCCAACAAAGGTAACCACCTACCTTTTGGTCAGGAGTCAGCCCTCCTGGCTTTCCCTCAGGGCTGCCAGGCACGTCCAACCCCACTCCTGTGGCCTCAGTAGGACGTGTGATAAATACTTCAGATGGCAAACGACACTTAAAATAGCCCAGCATACTGACTGCTAACATCTGAAGTAGATGCTATACCAACATCCAATGCTGCTTCTCCAGACTATGTACCGTGACGTCATGACGGTCACTCGGCAAGTTCGAGTCTCTGGCGTATCCCGAATACGCAGCCACAGAACCACTGACCAAAAACGCATGCATTTTACAACTGTCCCCCAGATCTAGCACATGGTTTGCTTATGACTATTGTTTTGTTTTGTTTTGTTTTGTTTTAAGATTTCTACTGAAAGAGCAAATACTTCTGAGCAGAGAGATTCAGAATTCTACACATTTGAATGTCCAGTTTATCAGACACCTGAGCGGTCAAGAATTTTGACAACTACTGGCTTACCCTCGAACTTTCTAACATCAGTGTATTTATCCACAAGGAGACCTCCTAGTCACTGGATCACAATGCAGGTTGCACTGCTCTGTGAGAAGAATGAGAAATAAACACATGTACCAAACCATTGAATTTTTGACTCTTAACCAGTTTTATGTGTCTCAAGACCTTTGCATGTAGCCAACACTTTCCACAGAAACATCCATGCTCAGCGGGGAGGCCCCACCATATACTGTCCCCGGTGAGCACACACTGTCCCCAGTGAGCCTGCACCATCTCCAGTGAGCGTGCACTGACCCTGGTGAACATGCATCATGCTTGGTGAGCATGCACCTCCCAGAGCGCAGGTCCCCCTTCCATAAGAGTGGAAACCCCCACGCCCAGCAAGTACTTGGGGCATGTTCGAATAACTTCCTGATTCCCAACAGTGATTTCCGCAGTTCCAAACAGTAAAATACACACGAGGGGGTAGTTCCTGGGAGTTCCTGGCTTGTTGGAGCCCAGAACAGGACCCCGCTGGCCAGCCTGCAGACTTCCGAGACACAGGCGATCTTCTTCCCTTCCGCAGGTCATGTGACCTCACCAAAACCCCTCCCTCTGAAAGCCAACCCCAAGAGGGCAGCATGCTCAGTCACTATGGAAATGCATTTTTGTGGCAGGACCTGTGCTGCAGAGCACCGAGCAGCACATTGAGCAGGAGCAGGATGTGCTGGGACCCCCGGGCCAGCCTCGTACCACGGGGTGCTGGTGGCCAGCTCTCTGCTTCAGAAGCTGCTGCTCAGAGTCCTAAGTCTTGCCTACACTCACTGCATGGAGGAGGGTCTGCAGCCACACTCACAGCCCATCCTCAGCAGCAGGGGGAACCCGGATGGAGACTCATGCTCCACCGTCGGGAGCGTGGGCAGGGCAGGCCCACACCCCTAGCTAGATCCGGGAGAACTGCCAACAGGATACCAACAGCTTACCTTTGTGTCTATGAACTTGTACTCTCTGAAGGTAACCATCCAAAAAACACATGAGCCAGTTACACCCCATAGTCTAGAAAAGACTGAGACCGAATCCCTGTCAATTAGAAATTAAGAAATTGGTATTTGGTCCGTTGCACTGGACCAAAGTCAGAATTAGACGCAATTTGCTAACATGGTCCCTGAGTTCTGGAGACATCCGGCACATGCTGCCTTTTCTCTGAGCCGTCCAAGGGTAAAGACCTAGGCACCTGGCTGTGGCCTTCTGACCCCACTGAGTGTTGACGCCGGGCCTGACACCCCCATGTCCCACCAGGAGGAGGTACACATGGAAGGTGTCTGGTCTCATCTCACGGACACACAAACACCTCACAGACATGCATGGTCTTTCCAATGTACATGGATGCTTTTGTGGCTCATCCAGACTCATGCAAGTACGACCGAATGTGAGTGGTTTCTCTATTCTCTCAAACAAGGATAAACAGCCGGCCACCATCTGGGACCCGGGACCCTCAACTAAGCCCTTCAAGTTCCAGCCTTCTGCAAGCCTGATGCCAAAACCCATGGCCCTGTGCCCAGGTCGTCTCTTGGATCGCCCTCCCCTCTCTATGGCACAGGAGTGTGGAGGTGGTCACCTCCGGGCTCCTGTGTTAGCACCAACGACCCCAGAGTCACAGGCAAAGAGACTCTCATATGCAAAGGACATCTTTTTTATTTCCAACTTAAAACTTCATCATTACACTTGTCAAACATGTCAAAAAACAAAATGAACCAAAAATCGTAGCTGATATCCAGAAAGACAACTCTATGGTGGTAAGGGCTCTCTTTTCATTACTGGAGACTGAATCCTTCTTCCTCCCCTACAGCTTCCTCAGTCAAGTACAGGACACGCTGGCACGCTCTTTCCGACACTGAGCAAAGCATAATAAAAAATTCCTGCTTCCATCAGGGTGAAGAAAACACAGACAACTTTCCCCAAAACAAGATTTCAATACCACAGGACATAGGATGCCAGAGCAAGCCAACTTCGTGATCACACACCTTCCAGTGGCTGAGCAGGACCAGTCGACACATGTAAATGTCGTGTGTGGAAAATGCATCATTAAAAACCCAAACGTATACACTCTAGATTCCCCTATATTTAAGATACTGAGAACAATTGAAATATAAAATTTTAGCGAGTTTGCTACTGTTCCATTCTAGGACAATTAATACTGAGACTGTATCAACTAGAATTTAATAGCTAAAGCTACCCTACACACCTCTATTAAACTAAAATAGAGAAATGATTTTGAACTCTTATTTTTAGATGTACAGACTCCTAACAATAAACACCACCCTCTTTTACAGGGAGTAGCGTTTTGTGACTATAAGGAATGTACAAAATACAGTATGAATAGCATGACCCCAACAGTAGCAAAACCACGGTTTTATTTTTTAAAGTCAAAAACATACAAAAATATTAGCCTGAAATGGCAAGTTTTCAAATACCAATCTGTGTAAAAATGTTTAAATAGTGATGTTACTGCAAAAATATATATTTATTCTATCTGCAACAGTTTATAAAGGCAAACGAACACCTGCAATTGAGGTAGCGAAGCCAAATTCACAAACTTTGAATTAAGAAAATATCCTTCCTATGTTTTAACAGCATCTTTTATACAATGTTAAATGAATTCTAATTGTTTTGCGATTTTTAATTGACATGTATCACTTTATAAAACTTAATATAAAATACTGCAAATGTTTTTGTTAAAGAGATATTTCGTCCTGACAATTATTTCACATTCAAAATACTGTACAGAAAAATCTGAAGTCACCATATATTACATAAAAAGCTATGTATTTACATTTTCAAGTGCAGTTCTGGAAGCCGGGGGTAAGCAAACTGCTCCTGGCGGTCTCCTGCATCAGTGGCTGCGAACGATCCCTCTTTATGGAGGGTGGTTCGTGCAGGGCCTCTGTCTGCTTTCCAATCATGGAACTAGGAAATGACTCAATTCAAAAGGAAATGGATAAAAATTGTCTTCTCTGAAGGTAGTAACAAGACAGAAATGTGCTTCAAAAGTAACAGCTGGTTTCATTTCAGTAACACTGACAATCATAATTTAAAAATTCATCAAACTCACAGACATCTATGGTATTCTTTTCAGTGCAATTACAAGACTTGTTTTCAGATTTTTAAGGATTTTTAAGGTGGAATTTTCTTCCCACCAGAAAGCCAATTCTAACACCTTGACATTTTTCCTTATGTTGTTGTGATTAAATAATAATAAACATGGCTACGTTAAAAGACCACTTGGCTCCATAGTCCTGACCCAAAAAGAAAAATAAGATCCTGTCAGTGCAACAATGAAGATTGGTTCTAGAATGTTTCCTAGTTTCTGCAGGTGGAAGCCAGAGCTGCGGGAGCATCCAGAGCTGCGCGGGGCCGGAGTGACTAGTACACGTAGGGGAAGATGCGGTAGGGCACCCGCTGGCAGTACTTCTCCCAGGCCAGGCCGTACTTCTTCCGACAGTGGCGCTCATCACGCGCTTCCCGGTGCACCAGTAGCACGGTGAAGTAGATCACATAAAAATATGGCAGGACGTGCTTAAAACCTGTGGGTCGCCACCGCAGAGGAATTAGGCATTTTTATGATCCCAACGCAGTATTTTCCCTGCTCTGACCCCCAAATCCTCTCAAAGTGAAGCATGAGACTGCTTCCTTTTTTCCAGTGATGGGGAAAGCACCCCGCCCCCAGCACATGGCAGACGTAGTGTCCGCAGCACAGACTCTCCGGGGGACAGCAAATGCCGCGCCGGTCCTCCCCTCTGCCCCAGCCTTCGGGATCTCTGAACCCCAGTCAGAGCTCTAAACCCACTCCCCTAGACTCGGCTTAGAAAGAAAGCTATCAGGCACAAGCTGCAGGTGTGGGAGTTGCTTCCGCCAGGGGCGCTCCCAGATGCTTTCGTTCCAAAGCACCCCCCTACCACACACACCGTGCCCCCCCAATGCAGTGCTCACCACAGGGGAGGGACCACGCCAGGGCCATGATGAGATCACCCAAGTAATTGGGGTGGCGAACAAAGCCCCACCATCCAGAAACTAGAAGATTTTTCCCTGTTGAAGTATGGATGGTTTTTAAATCTAGAGGAAAATAAAAATGTATTTATAATGACCTTTACACAAATAGAGACATAAAACCTATGTAATGCAGATAACATAAATATAAACCAATGCTTACGTGCAAGCTTCGGATCAGTGGGATTTTTCCGGAATGCATTTTTCTGAGAATTTGCACATCGGAAGATTACATATCCACAAACTGTAATTTTTATAAAATTTCATGTTAACAATTTAGATATAACCTAATACTTAAACGCATCTCTAATTTCACTCCAATTATTTCTGTGCTCTGAGGAAATTTCCAAAGTACAGAATACTTTGAAAGGTTTTGAATTGTTCTTAAGAAATCAATCTCAATGTCAAAAGAAGAGAACTATCCTGAAATTTCACCATCTACCAGGGGAATGCAAAACCAACCAATACAGTTACATCCACAAATAAAACCGAATACAGACCAGGCTGTAATTACATCAAGACTGGCGTCCCGTAGACTCAAGAATGTGGGGTGTCATCTGATGCTGTAGCACCTACGAGTCGTTAACAGGGACGCTGCATGAATCACAAACTACAGCTCGGAGGCAGCACCAGGGTGCCCTGCACATAACACTCGCCGAGTCCCACTGCAAGCCTACAAGCTGACTGCTTTATTTCAGATTTCAACTGTCTTGTGGGCTTTGACATACCGCTGCCTATTAACCACCAGGTAAGTCAGGCCTCCACCCGTGCTGAGCCACAGCTGTACCCCCCACTTGCACAGACCACCCTGAGGGACACGCACGCATGGTGATACTAAATCTTAATTTTAACTTTACCCAATGCCTTGAATTTCTTCTTCTGCCACGGGTGCTGGTTGGCATAGCAGACCTCACTACCCTCGAAGCTCACGCTGATTTCCCCACCCTACCTCTGGGGCAGACATTTAATAAACAGAGTAACAGAAGGAAAGCCAAGCTGATGCTGTATGCACCTGCCCATGCTGCCCCTCTGCCCTCCTCTTCCCACAATTCCCCACCACCTCACAATTTAGATCAAACAC